GCAAGATATGACAAATGAATAATTTATAAATTATCAAGGGTTCATGAGGAAGGGGGGAGCAGGGAGGGAGGGGAAAAAATGAGGACCTGATGCCAGGGGCTTAAGTGGAGAGCAAATGTTTTGAGAATGATGAGGACAATGAATGTACAAATGTGCTTTACACAATTGATGTATGTATGGATTGTGATAAGAGTTGTATGAGCCCCTAATAAAATGATTAAATTTTTAAGTAAATAAATAAATGACAGTGTGTATAAAAAAAAAGAAAAGGAAATTATACTAGTACATGCAGGCTCCAAACTGCATTAAATGAATTGTTAATTTGTACAGATTCAAATCTTAAGTGACTGAGCAACACCAGTGAATTTCAAGAGTATAGCTTACTCAATAAAGATATTGAGCCTATATTTCCAAAGGAAAGAAATAAACTAAAAGCAAAACCACCAACCTTACTCCATTCCAATTCATAGTGACCCTACAGAAAAAGGTACTTGCCCTATGGGCAGTAACTCTTTATAGGACTAGAAAGCCTCATTTCTCTCCTAAATGAATAAATGAATCCTATTTTTCTCCCAATCCTACATTTCTCCCAAGTAAATTAATGAATCCTCATCTATCTCCCAAATTAAAATAAGTATATCCTATTTAAATAAACAGATCATTCTACCAGTACTCAAGTTATGTATTGGGTAGTATGGGAAGATGCATTAATCATTTGAATGCATTAGTTCCTAATAATTTGAAGTTCCATAAGAAAATATTGTAGACATAAAGAGAAGAGAGCACATACGTCTAAATACAGTAATTGAAGTTGGAATTTATTAGATTTATGAGATAGTATACTAATGTTATGTTAGTTTTTATTTCTCTTATATGACACATAATTGCGTGGAAAAGAAATTGCTTAAATATGGCTACTCTATCCATTTCTTTATAACTTCTACCAAATGATTGGTTGCTGTTGCTGTTAAGTACAGTTGAGTAAGTTCAAATTCATGATGATCCTATGTAAAACAGAGGGAAACAATGCCAGATCCTGTACCATCCACAAAATTGTTCTTATGTTTGAGCCCATTGTTACACCCAATGTGTCAACCCATCACATTGCGGGTCTTCCGCTCTTTCATTGGCCCTCTACTTTAACAAGTATGATCTCGTTCTGCAGGGACCAGTCTCTCCTGACAACATGACCAAAGTACGTGAGGCAAAGTCTCATCCTCCTTGCCTCTAAAGAATATTCTGACTGTACTTATTCCAAAACTGAATTGTTTGTTCTTTCAGCGGTCCACGGTACTTTTTATATTTCTCACTAACACTATAATTCAAATTCATTGGCTCTTCTTTGATCTTCTGTATTCAAATGATTGGGTGGGACCATGAAAACAGGGTATGTAAAACACTAATAGAGGGTATTGGTCAGTTTTTCTATATAATATGGTATAAGAGAGCCATTTCAGCAGCAGGGACCAAATACCCCCTGACTATAAAGAAAAGCTAGCAGCAGAACACATGCAAAATCCCTTGGTAAAGTAACAGGCACAGAGGCACCCGAAGTCATGGTGTTGAGACCACAAAGCAAGGAAGAGCTACCACAGAGACAGTAAAGCTGAGACCAAGACAAAGTCCAAGCTATCACGTGGTTCAGAGACGGGCTGAGGAGATGTGTTGCTGTGACCAATAACTGTGTCCTTAATGTTTTCTGATCCTGACTACTGATAAATGTTAAATTCCCCAATAAACTCCCATAATCATGAGAATTGTCTGTAAGTTCCAATGAATTATGAAATCCAGCAGTTGTCATGTAAGAATTACTTGGTGTAAGGATAGCATAGGAAACACATAAGATGGAGGCATGTCTGACTTCCGCCATGAGGTACTTGATCTTGAGCTAGTATGGGGTTGGAGTCTCCTTTACTGAAGCAGGGGGTGGTCAGATGTGTCCCATATACCATTTCCTCAATAATCTAATACTCTTTACTTCTCATAGGATTTAGATGCTTTGAAGAATATTAGCTGATCGCTATGTGTGTTAATTCAAGCATAACATCATAATTCAACTCTCAGGAACCAAAAATTCAAACTGGATATAGTTCTTTCTAGAATCAAACAAAATAACACCAAGTAAATGGGTTGTTAAAGATGATTTGGAGTTTTATTCTGTGTCTTTTGTTCATGGACACTTATGTGAAAGTATTATATTCTCTTCCAGTATTTACTCAAAATGCCTAGAATCTAATTTTTCAAGTATCAAAAATCTATAGATTATGAGAAGCCATTAATATTTAACCACATCTTATACCAAATGACTAAAAGTTAATTGGCTCAATGCAGCAATAAATTGCTGAATGGATGCAAAATTTAATAAACAAACAAAAGCATATTGTTCAATGTATAATTTAATAACTGTTGTAGTAGCAAGTATATCTTATTTACTGGTGTGGGAAGAAAGAAGACCAAAGAGTACAAATAAATATAGGTATAGAAAACATAATAGGAGCTTTGTGTTGCAATGCAACTTAAACTCCTCTGGGCAGTGAACAATAAAGTTACAATAAAATGATTAAGTAGCTGACAGAATTATTATTATTCAGGGCAGGTATGCAAGCACTCAAGGCAGCAATGTTGGTGGCCCCTCCCCATCAAGTCAAACTGCCAGTACAGAGTAGATGCCTGGAACCAGGCAAGACTTAAAAAAAAATCCTAGAGCCAACTAAGAACAGATTCAACATAAGCCATCTCCAGTTTGCAATATAACTATAAATCTGCAGTGAGAAATGTCCCTTGGGATGCACATGTATTGTCTTTAGAGGGTACTGACCAACACACATTTCTATTTATCTTACTACGCATTTCAGCAAGCCTGAAGCACTGATCTAGAAATCTCGGTATACTGCTGAACACAAGTAATTTTAACATTTGTTGGCACAAATTTCTGTTGATAGGTATGACCATCATGTTGTGACATGAACAGATGGTCAGATTAAGTCCATTTCACTGACAGTATATTAAGTGGGTCTTTTTCTCCCTCAACAACCAACCCAAACAAAAGCACAACACACAAAAGGTCATTCTGACTTCCCCCTCATTTGTTTGTCAGTTTTATGCCTGAAATATAAAAATAAACCAACACTCCTATGTAGTTATACTCCTATGTAATCTCATTTCCATGCAACATTAGAGTATTCATACACCCTTTGAAAATGGAAAATACAAGATAATCTGTTTATTTTTCAACTAATCACTACAGTAAAAAGAGAAAAATTAAAAAAATTACCATTTCACTCATTGTTCAGCTTTTTTGAGATAACCAACAGTTTACAAGAAAAGAGCAAGTCACAACTCTTTCATTGTAATCAAGACTTTTACCAATACCTGAGGATAAAATACAATTGAAAAAAAAAGTCTCGAAAAAAAAAATACCAGAGAAAAGTCTCATCTGACAATAAGTATTTCTTTGAAAAGCTATGTGAGTTGTATATATATTATTTTACTGAATATTTTAAAATATAAAAATGAAAATTTTTAATACCAAACAACTTTCAAAACCAAACAATTGACATCTAACAGATATCAATAACCAATTAGACCAGTTCACACCAAAAAGTCTCTTAAAAAACACACATATGTTGCTAATCAGGTAATTAATGTTAACGTGATTTGTATAACTAATCCAAAATATACATTTATTATGTAAAATAAAATACAATATTATTGCACAAATGTGAGATAAAATTAAGAATATATTCCCATCTATAACAGAAGTGAATACAACTGCAGGAGTTGTCTGAAAAATAAATGACAAAAATTAATCTACATATGTTTGTGCAAACAAGTTGAAAGAGAATTATAGTTACCTATCTTCAGAAAGAGCTGATGAAGTGTGAGGTTTAAGAGTACATCTTTAGTACTTCTGTAACTTAAAATATTGCCGAGTATTAATTTTTCATCAAGTTGTCATTTTCTCTGACATTTGGTTTTATTAATCAAGGCATTTATCATTAATTTGTAGAAAATATCATAATTAAGTCAAATAAAATAAAATCCTTAAAAGGTTAAAATTAGAAAGCAGGTGAATTTAAACTGTGACATTACCCTGTTGACATACAGGAGCTTTTGGAATCAAGTTTTTAACATGAGTTTGGCTCCTCAATCTTGGGATTGGCTGGTTAAAAAAACATTATAGAGATTTGATTTAAAGCTCTTTGACAGTTGTGACATTCAGGTGAAAGTACTGCTGCTGCATTTGCAACAATTTACATATCCCACTGCTAAACGGAATGTTTGAGGTGTGCACTGGTGTAAAGAAATTAAAAACAAGCTATCACACATGCTTAAGTGTATGTATTCACAAAACTGGTGATTGGATTGCACCACTCCATCCCTCTCCAATGTAATCTATGATTTACTCTTCTATAATAAATTATCCTACCATGTTATTCTCACTGGAAGATCTAACCATGCATGTGAGAAGCAAAGTAATTACAGCCCCCTCTTGTCTATGAAACCTTCTTCAATCCCCAGGTGCTCTTAAAACACAATGCAGCCACACAAGTCTATTGTAACCTTCTTGACTGACATTCTGGACTTCAGTAGCCATTAAATTTCATTGAGATAATTTTGTAGTTCCTAACAAATGCAGTTTTCTTTCAAATTGTTAATTATTAAGCTCTCCCCAAAGAGGAATAAGTACTGACTTTGAAATCGTTTGTCTAGGAAAGGGTCAAGGTATAATACCAGTCGAGTTCTAAAATATTTTTAAAGCAATATAGTATATAGAGAAGACGGTATAAAGAAATAATCACATAGATTGAGGTATTGTTAAATGATATAAGTGTACTTTTATTGATTTCTATTTTATATAATTTTTAGGTACACATAAAAAAAGTTTGAAGTGTTAATACGTAGCAAAGGAATGTCATGAGGTAGTAAATCCAAGGCCTTAAATTTATAAAACACTTCAAGCAGATAATACCTTTGAAGAAATCATAACTGGACATTACCTTTCAGTCTTTAAAGGCTCAAGGGGAAATTCTTCACACTTCTTTATATATCTGTAAAAAATGAAGTACTTAAATTAGAAATTTGATAAGAGTTCCATTGCCTGGTAGCACAGTGGCTTAAGCTCAGGCATAGTAAACAAAGGATCAGTGGCTTGAATATCCTACCTGCTCCATCACAGAAAAAAGAAACAAACTGCTCTGCCCTATAGAGTCCTATAGGGTCCTATCAGGATCCTAGGAGCCAGAATAGACTCAAGAGCTATGAATTTGGTTTGGTTTGGGTAATATATTTATGACTAGCCATAGTCATAATCATCAATACAAATAAGAAAATAAGGACTAATATATTCAGATGTACACTTGCAGTACAAGCATTCAATAAAATGTAACACAAATATACCATTAAAATGACTGCATGTCATTAAAATGGAGCATTTTATATGGTAGTATTCAATTTTTGAAATAAAGTTTTACTTTGTATTTTTATATTTTAAAGAATTACTATAAAATTGTTTACTTTTGGTTTTGCTTAGCAGTGGTTTCTTAAAGATGTACAATGTATAATGTATTGGTAAGCACAGCTGACTTAGGAATTGTATAAAGATCAGACAAAGGCCTTATCCTCACACTAGCTTACAATTTCCAGGTGGAGGTGGGGCTGTTTGCATAAATATAAAATCCAAAGGTAAAAATAAGTATGCAGAGGAACATATGTTCACTATTGTTTGAGCACAGAGCAAAACTATACAACCCAAATCATTAGCATTAGAACCTGGCTATGATTCCTATTTTAGTAACCAGGCTAAGTAGGGATATCCTTAAATGCTTTGAAAGCTGATTAAAGGGAAATGCATATATAAAAAAGCACAGTCAATGGTTTTGAAAATAATACCATTTACAATCATCCTTAAAATTATAAAATAACTATAATAAATCTAACTAGAGTTGTAAAGGACTTATACAAAGAAAACTACAAATTATTACTTCAAGTAAGAGAAAGACACCTACATAAATGGAAAAACACATCATGTTCTTGGAAGACAATATTTTGAAAATATCAACACTACCTAACACGATCTACAACTATAGTACAATCCAGATCCAAATTCCAACATTTTTCAACAGGATGGAAAAACACATCATCCAATTTTATATGGAAAGGAAAGAGATATGAGATTAGCAAAGCATTACTGACAAAAGAGGAAGAACAAGGTAGGCAGCCTCAAAGTCCCTGGTGTCAACACAGCCAGAGTAGTAAAAAAACCATGACTGGTACAATGACACACATACATAAATCCACAGAAGAGAATTGAGACCCCAGAAGAAACGTCATCTACCTTTGGACAACTAATCTTCGACAAAGACTCTAGTCCGTTAAATGGGGACAAGCGAAGTCCTTTGCAATAAATGGTTCTGGAAAAATAGGATGTTTATTTTCAGAAAAATTGAGTGAAAAAATCCAAACCTAACACCACACATAAAACTAAGTCAAAATGGATCTAAGACCTATATGTTAAACCAAACTATAAAGATTACAGAAGAAAAATAGAAGCAACATTACAGGCCCTAACACATAGCATAAGTAGAATAGTAAATGCAGCTAATGCACAAATAGTATAAGATAATTTTGATATTGTATGAGACTATTATTATAAAAAATCGAGAATAGATTGACACACAGAAATTACAATAGTTTGCTGTTGTCCAAGAGGGTAAGTATATTAACTAGATAAGAACCATAGCTCCAGGGGATATCTAGGTCAATTAACAAAGAAAAGTTCATTAAGTTAATGTTCCACATCCTAGTTTAGTGAGTAGCATCTAGGGGTCTTAAGAGCTTGTGAGTCACCCTCTAACAAGTAACAATTGTTCTCTTCCCTCCTGAAAAAGCATAGGAGATTGAAGAAAAGTAAATACTCCAGGAAGCAATTAGTCCAAAAGACTAATGGCCAACATGAACTACAACTTAACCCGAGACAAGAAGAACTGGATGGTACTCAGCTACCATTACTGACCACTGTAACCAAGACCATAATAAAAAATGGATTCTTTTAAATAGAATAAAATTTAAAGCTGAAAAGATATATAACCAATTTCACTGGTGGGAAAGAAACTGGAGAAGCCTTAGAGACTATTGCCTTTCAAAGGCCTTCTAACTTGAAACTGAAGACACTCTGGGGCCATATTCTAGCCAAAGAACTCACAGGCCTGTCGAACAAAACAAACAAATCTGTCTCAGAAGATGTACAACCAGAATGCTCCTTGAAAGCACGAATGGCAAGACTTCATCTCACGTACTTGGGACATGTTATCAGGACAGAATATCTCCTGGAAAAGGATATCATGCTTGGTAAAATGGAGGGGCAGCGAAAAAGAGGAAAACCCTCGACAAGATCGATTGGCACAGTGGCTGCGACACTGGACATGAACGTAACAAGTGTGAGATGACCCAGGCCCAGGCAGTGTTTCATTCGGTTGTACCGAGGGTCACTCACTATAAGGTAGAACCAACTTTCCACCACCAAACAAGAACACGGACCAAAAATGTGAAGACTAGGCTCCTTAGAACAATCAACCATGTGAGATCAAAAGGATAACACTGACCCCAAACAAAGCATGAGACGACAGGGAGAGACAGAGAAATCAGATGCCTGGAAACAGGAGAGACAGCGTTGATAAATTGCAGGAGTTGGAAGCAATGCCACAAGACAATATGTGTATGAATATCAATTGGAAAGTGAATATCATTTCATTTCCCATTTGCTATGTAAATGTTGACCTAAAGCACAATAAAGTGTTTAAAAATGTATCTTTTAGCTAATTTGGTCAGTTGTCATATAAACAGAATTAACTGAAAACATTTTTCATATTTAAAGTTGAGGTTGATGTTATATGTGATCTTTCTAAACATACTATGAAATTTCAGTGATAATCTTGATAATCTAGAACTATTTACAAATAATCAGAGACTAGCAGCCAGCCATTCAAAATTTCAAAAGCAATTTTAGAAATGGAAACACATACGTAAACATAAACTGATTCTATAAACTACATACATCTATAGTAAAAGTTCCATTAAAAATCTGAAGATTATACTTAACTGGATCTTTAATATGACTAACTAATGCTGCATTCCAGAGGGAAAACAAGGAATCAAAACATATATACCTATGAAATATATACCATGAGAATTAAATCTCAAAGGCAAAATTCACTGCCATAGTCAATTCTGACACATAGCAGCCCTACAATACCAGGTAAGACTGCCCCTGCGGTTTCTGAGACGATATCTGATTAAAGGAGTAGAAAGCCTCCTCTTTCTCCTTCACAGTAGCTGATGGTTTTAAAAGGCAGAACTTGAAGTTAACAGCCCAACTTGTAACCACTCCACAACCAGGGGTCCTTTAAACCACCATGAAACCAAAACAACTGTGAGTTTAGCCTGAAGAGACAACTGGAGTTCAGAAATGGGAGCACAATCTTGCTCTACTCAAGATTAGCACTACATTTGCAACACCAAAGGTTAGGAAGGAAACGGAAAATTATAATCTGTTAGGTAGAGTTAGAGTAGAACTATTAAACATGGATATGCAGGGGATGTTAATAAATGGCAGAGAAAGCATTTTCAAATTAGGTGGAGGAAGAGGAGGAAATTTCACTTTTTGAGAAAATTAATTTGGTCATTTCACAAATAAAAGTAATTTTTGTCCACTATCCTACCCACTAGAATGTAAGTGCCAGGAGGACAGGAACTTTGTCTTTTCCACCATACTTTCATTCCTATGAATAATGTTTGACCCATTCTAGGTGAGCATGGAATATTTTATTGAGTAAAAAAATAACCTAAGTTTATAGCTATTTATAGATAAAAAATTTAGTATTAATCAATGCATACCAGAAGTTAACTAGTATGCATTAAATTTTGATTTTCGGCAACTTCAATGTCATGCAACATATTTTTGTGGCTCCAGTCCATATTACTTTAATTAAGGGAAACAATGCTCATATAAATGATCAGACTTAAATTTCAATCTCTTGGTTGCTGTCTAGCCAATTCCACCTCCTTGTACAACAGAACAAAACACTGTTTGGTCCAATCCTCACAATCATTGCTGCGTTTGACTCCATTTTTTGCAGTTACTGTGTCAATCCAACTTGCTGAGGGCTTTCCGCTTTTTCAGTTACCCCTAGTTTACTAACTACAGTGTACTTCAACAAGCTCAGATTCCTCCTGATACTGTGTCCAACATATGTGAGTTGAAGCTGTGCTACGTTACTCACTAAAGCTATATGTTTTCTAAGACAAATTTGTTTATTCTCCTTGAACCCCATAAAAAATTAATTAATATTATTCTACTCCATAATTAAAGTGAATTGTCATTTTTCAGTATGCCTTATTCATAGTCCAAACATAAATGCTTTCACAACCATAAAAAGAGATGATTCAAAAGATCACGACCTGAGCCAGGTGCATCTTCGTCCTCACGCTGACACCTTTGACTCTCAGTGCTTTAGAGGATTTTGGCAACAAAAAAACAATGCAATACAATGTTTTTGTTTTTATGTTTTCTTGTCTGCTGCTTCTAAGAGCATCTATTGTGGATCCAAATCGAACGAAATACTTCACAAATTTAATATATTTTCTCCAGTCAAATTGTGAATATTTTTGTTTTCTGTATGCTGTGATGTAATCTATACTGGAAGTTGCATCGCTGATATTCATCAGTGAATGTTATATACTCTTCACTTTCCGCAAGGAAAGCTGTGTCATGAAAATAATATAGGTTCTTTATCTTCCAATCTGGATAGATTATTTCCTCAAAATACTGACTAAATAAATATGATGAACGGATATAATCCCAATGCACATCTTTTGTCTGATATTGAAACAGGGTCCCTCGTTCTATTGAAAAGATTGCCTCTTGGTTTATGTACATTTTTCACACGAGCAGAATTTAATTTTTCTGGAATTCCATTCTTTTCAATGTTATGATCCACAGAGTTGACTGCCTTTACAGGGCCAATAAAACAGAATTATACATATCTCTGTT